TAATGGCAGTTCATGTGGTGCTTAATCCGTAATAATCAATTTTGTCGATATTGTACAACAATGTTACATTATTTTATTTTTCTTAGCTAAACCTCTTGATTCCTCTTGGTAAGATCGGCAATGTATCGCGGGCAGCAAATCGCGCAGATGCTTATCGAAAAACAGCAAATGGACGATATTTTGATGAATAAGGACCATACAGTTTGGTACAAAGTCAACAGGCTGGTTTTTCAAGGAAAATTTTCTTTGTTTTTAGCTTTCTTCAGTTGTAGACATTTGGATCTTATGTATATTCAGATGAATAATCAAAAAGCAACTGTTGTGATGAAATCAGTCAATTAGGAAGAAAGTCTTAGGAATTTGTCTTTGTAGCTCACAACAAGCGTTTCTTTACACTTTCGCATTAAGCCACATTTACTAATTGTTTCTATAGAAGGCATTATGGGCAAAATTGCATGACGAACGACAATGACATGTTTTTTTAATATCAACTTTCATGGGAAGTGGAAATATACTTTTTTCCGTTTTTAAGGGCGGCTTTACCTGCTCCAGTCATGGGGTCGTTTTACCAATTTCATCCCGATAGTAGTTCACAAGAGTTTCTAAACAGATCTCTGGAGACAAGCAATGCGTTGTTTTTACAAGCAAGTGATTTCTTGCATTACATCGATATCTGTAATTTGACTGAATTGGAAAATGACAGTCAGTTTGACATTGTATTAACAGCAGCGAAAAACTTTTTTGTAGAGGGTTATTTTTGGTTATTTTTAGCTTTACTACACACTAGCTTCCAGCATGTTATCGTTTTTTCTAACTAAAACCAGCATTAACGGTATTCTTGGGCGAGGAGGTATGTTCATTTTTTCTAGCGAGCAACTACGTGACTTTCTCTCCATAGGCGAAACTTGGAATCGGGACCAGAAGAAGGTATTTTTAAAGCTTTACTTTGTACTGTGTTATTTACGATAGGATTTGCGGTTATTTGGACGCAAAGACTCTGAAGTTTGTTTTTTATCTGTTTATCTGACTGAAAACTTTGCATTTTTTTCCTGAATCCAGTTTTATGATAGTTTTTAACGCCAATTTTACAGTTGCTAGACCTTGGCGCAGGCGACGGCCAAGTGACAGAAATATTGGCAAACTACTTTGCTGATGTGACTGTTACAGAAGCATCAATGGTTTGTTTTCACGGCTCATAAATTTTATGTCTTATTCTTCACTGTAATGTTGGGTAAGTTAATGATGCTAATGGCATTTTTGAATTCTTTTAGGTGATGGCTTGGCGACTGCGACAGCACGGGTTTACAGTAACTGACAAAGAACTTTGGGCACAAACAGGGCCATATGACTTGGTCTCTGCATTGAACCTTCTTGACAGGCATTACGACCCTCACGCCTTGCTTCGCGACTTACACCAGTTAACTTATAATTCCAATTGCTTGTTACTTATGGCTGTAGTTCTTCCATTAAAACAGTATGTCGAGTTCCATCCGTACAAAAACAGCACTAAGCCAGGCGAGATTTAGTGAATTAATGTTACAATTTTGAAACGTTCTTAAATTAAATGTTGGATTAGCTCTTACACTAAATGGAATTTTATTTTCTGCTCAACTCCTTAAAACTGCAATCTGTTTTCAGATACATTTTTGCGTTTGAAAGGCGAAACGTTTGAAGAACAGTTCATTTCCTTAGTAGATGACATACTTGCACCCTCAAACTTCGAAGTGGTGAGGTGGGGAAAACTGCCGTATTTGTGTGAAGGGGATCACGAGATGGTAAATAAAAATCTCTTATGCGTTAAAATTTGTTCTTTTGATTTATTTGTTCGATAATGGTTTATTTAGGTCCAAGATCACCTCAATATAAATTTAGTATCATTTATTCTAGGCTTACTATCAGCTTGATGATGCAGTGCTTCTGTTACGGCCTACGGCTAAGACGGTGCCCCACAAAGCTGTAAAAGAAAAACCTAATTTCCTGCGAGAAAAAGAGGATCTTTAATGAGACTATTATTTTTTCCCTGACTCTGCTGTTTAAAAAAAGAGAAATGATAGAACCATTTGCTTATATTATTAAAACATTATGTAAATAGCATTCTTATTTTTACTTTTATACTACCGAGGTACCTTTATCGTACAATTTTCAAAACCATGATTTCACTGCGTGAATTTGTCATCGTTTCTTCTCGGGTTTATAAATAGGGTTTTAAATAAGTGGTGTGGCTTGATTTTTTGGTTTCCTTAGTATCGCGTTCTTGTACTTGGTCGGTTACTGCGACTTGAACTTCTAGTTGCAGGCATTCCAGATATGTTTTTGCTGCTCCTTATCTGTGGTTGTACATTTGGCGTACTGCTTGATCTGTAAAATACTATGAATCTTTCTGGGTTGTGTATTCTCTTTATGTTTGTACACAGAATTGTTTCTTGTTCATCTCTGTTTAATTTTTTCAATTAACAGGTTGTGAAAGTCACTCATTTTTTTTATACTGCATTTGGTATTTATTTCAATGTTTTAATGATTGTTAACTAATTTTTCAATGATTCGTTGAAAAAATTATGAAAAAAAACTGACGTGGTATTTTTTTTAAGAGGTTGTGATGGTGAAGGTGTTCTTCTTGAAATCGAACTACTTCTGAAACATTTTTAAGTTTTATAAATTTCAATTTTATTT